AGGAGACTACTCTTCCCAAAGATTGTTCAGATGTGTGAGACTACTAGGAGATGTACCCTTAAAGCTGCTGCATTGAGGAATAGAAGAGCCACACTGAATGGGGGTGTAAAATTTGTATAGGACCATGAGGGATGACCAGGAAGATCAGAGTGAAATTTTTCAGGGATGATTTCATTAGTGCCAAGATGAAAAAGTTATTATAGTAGTGAGGCAGGATCAGTGGATATATTAAGAGGAACTGCATGCAGTTAATCTTCTAAGGGAATGTTCAGGGAGAATGAGACAGCCAGACTAAGGCACTGGCTTTCCCACTGGGAGATTTTGCTCCCAGGGGACAGCTGGCAATGTCTGGAGACATTTTTTGATCATCAGGATTTTGAGGGCTGGGGAGGGGGTAAAGCTACTGCCTGCTAAAAATCCTATAATACACGCACAACAAATAATTATCTAGTCCAAAATGACAGTAGTGCCGAGATTGAGAAACCTTGTATAATGGCCGGGTGCAGTGGCTCACACCTATAATACCAGCACTTTGGGTGGCAGAGGCAGGCGGATCAGCTGAGGTCGGGAGTTTAAGACCAGCCTGGCCTTGGTCAGGTAACATGGTGAAACCCCATCTCTACTAAAAATACAAAAAATCAGCCGGGTGTGGTGGCATGTGCCTGTAGTCCCAGAACTCTGGAGGCTGAGGCAGGAGAATCACTTGAGCCTGGGAGGCAAAGGTTGCACTGAGCTGAGGTTGTGCCACAGCATTTCAGCCTGTTGGGTGACAGAGAGAGTGAGACTGTGACAAAAAAAGAAAGAAAGAAAGAAAGAAAGAGAGAGAGAGAGAGAGAAGGAAGGAAGGAAGGAAGGAAGGAAGGAAGGAAGGAAGGAAGGAAAGAAAGAAAGAAAGAAAGAAAGAGAGAGAGAGAGAGAGAGAAAGAAAGAAAGAAAGAAGGAAGGAAGGAAGGAAGGAAGAAAGAAAGAAAGAGAAAGAAAGAAAGAAAGAAAAAAAAAAGAAAGAGAGAGAGAAAGAAATAAAGGGAAATCATGTGTAAGGAAAGCCAGTCTGGGCTACAACATTTGAGTCCAGATGGAGTCAGATGTTAGGCTGATGAGTACAAGTATCCTGCTTGGAGAGCCAGATGTGGACAGGATTTACTTAAACTATGAATATTTTGGCAGCTTATGAAGTTACTGGCTTCACATCTATTATTAAGGAGGATCTAAAAGGACAACATCTGGAATAGTCTCATGAAGACAACAAATGAATGGGAATGAAAGCAAAGAGAAAGAGAAAGGAGAGAGGTGCTATGATCCAGCCCAGGGTATTGGCACCACATATGGAAAAGGGAGGAAGCCAAATTAGGAAGAATATTACACTTCTACAAACAGCTGAGTTTGTTTGAAAAGAGTGGAGGATGAGAAGACAAATGAAACAGTAGAGGCATTTGCCACTGCAATAGGAATGAAGGTGGCAGAGATGAATGTTCTTGCTATCAGTGAAGCAGCATAATTCACTCAAGGCCTGGAGATTTAAGGACCAAAGACCAAGGAAAGGCAGAGCACATGGTAGAGGATGTAATGCCTGCCTAAGCAAGCCAGCTGCAGCTGCATCCGTAAGAGCTTCAGTTTGAAGATCGGTTAACTATGCCAGGACAGAATGTGAATCACTCAGAGACATGTCTGCAGCAGTGGTTCTCAAACACAGTGTGCATTAGGATCACCTGAAGAGCTTGTCAAAATCCAGATTGCTAGGCTCCAGCTTCAGAGTGTCTGATACAATAGGTCTGCATGGAGTTTGAGAATCTACATTTCTAATGAACTCCCAGGCAATGCTGATGCACCTGTTCAGGGCGTACATTTTGAGAAGCATTAGCCTACAGAATTCCAGTGTAGGAAGCAAAGACAATAGACACTGCCTGCTGTGATTCTGCTGCAGGTGGAGAAATACAAAAAGTGGTGCAAGATTGAAACTCTGGGGAAGGCACAACTATGCACCTTGCTTAGACAGGGCCTCTCTCTTGGAGCACTGTGCTCTGAAAGGCAGAGGATACTGGGCTATTGTAAAAACCTACCCTTGATTGAGCATTGAAGAGGGGGCAGCATGTAGGGCTCAAACCTAGAATGGAAATTAAAAACAATAAAATGTATAGCAAAGAACTGAGCCACAAGAAGACCTGGAGACACAGGCCACCATTGATATTTCTTAATTTTGCAAGTAGAGATCAGTGTCTCAAAGGCCAATCTCTGAGAAAGGAAACAGGGTGCATGGGCCATCCCTGTCTCTTGCCAAAGGAGATGGGAAGCACAGGGATAGTATTAATTTCTTCACATCTCTTGGCATAAAATATCTATGTTCAATTATTTATGCTCCCAGGTCACGAATGCTAGACAGGCATCCTAACAAAACTGAAACCAAAAACATTTTTTCTTTTTTCCAGGTGTTTCTGCCAGCCCTTCTCCCCCAGATAACACTGAGTGGTCTGCTGTGATCCATAGCTGATAGCCACAGTGTGGGCCTGGTACTTTCCACTCCATCGGCTTCTTTGCTGTTCCCTGTGCAGATTCCCAACCAGCAGAAAGGGGGGTTGAATAGTTAGATTCAAGCAACAAACTCCATCCTGTGCTTCTCAAATCTAGTAAGAGACAACACAACTAAACTGCATACATTCATCTACTAAGGGCCTATCATGTAACCATGGTCCTCGGGGAGAGGGGAGCTTTATGAACAGTTGTAATTACTTGGAGGAAAAGCTTATGATGTAATGGAAAATAAAGCAGAAGAAAATGGAATAGATAATAATATGACAATTACATGAAAACGTAGCAAATAAAATAAAATCCTATATACAGACAACACTATACATGGAAATGCACTGAAATATATACTAGGGCTATTGGTAAGTGGTAGGCATTTTCTCCAAAATTTTTTATTATGAATTTAAACTTAAAATATGCTAGGAATAATAAACTTATCAACTTTAAGTATTTTAACATTATAAAGTTATAACATTATAAGTGTTAACATTATAAAGTCATGAGGACCTTTACTTCTCAAAGACAGGAAAAGCAGAAATATAAATTTCAAAATAGCAGGGAAAATGTGAATGGAAGTATGCTTTGAGGTGATTAAGAGACTTGTTATCTGATAGAGGATATACGAAGAGGAAAGGATGATTACTTCTCCTATGGGGAGAGATTATTAACCAAGAGATTCCAATGTTCCTTGATATTTCAGATTTGATGCACAGTAAAAGAAAAGATGTCAAGCAAAGCTGGCCTAATATTGCTAACCAATTGCAGAAGTGTGAAAGAAATTTTAACACTCTATAGATATAATGAAAATCAACAAAGTTGGGAATGGCTTAATGAATACCACATGGAAACATAGAATGAATTGGCTATGAAAAAAATCAGAAATTTCTCTTCGAAGGGATGGCTATAGTATCACTTTTCATTATAAATGAGGAATATAAACACATTGTCAAAAATACACATTGTCAAATGAATTCAAACAAAAATATTTTAGCTCTCTGTCAGTTGAGTAGAATAAGTTTAGATTTTAAGTATCAAGAGAAAGGATCTAACAGTTTATGAGCAACTTTGCAGAGAGCAGAAGCAGTAAAAATTGCAAACAGATGATATGTAAATAAATATTTGCATCAACTGGTATAAATATTTAGAAGTGCTGACAACTCCCAATTATTTTGTTTTAAATGGTTCACACAGAAACTAATTTTTGACAATTGTACTCAGTTAATTAATACTTCAGTAGCTCAGCTAATGCCTTTGATCTTAAGAGTGCTTTGGGGAACAAGACCGGGTAGTCACCCCTTTGTACCAGAGAGAAATAAACTCTTCATTCAGTACTGAAATCATACTGATTTGCAAGCCTACTTCTGCAGCCAAGGAAATCTTGATCCAGGAGAATGGAGCCAAGAAGCGTATAATACAAAGTTGGTAAAACAAGTGGTGTTGGGATTATGGATGGGGAGGAAGTACAGGGACAAAGCTCACAAAAAAGCATTGGACATTGATTTTGAAAGGTCTACATTATGACAGCGGTTTCCAATTAGTAATGTATGATCATAAACAGTGCCTGAGCAGGGAGTAGTGGCTTGTGCCTGTAATCCGTCACTTTGGGAGGTCAAGGGAGTGGATCACTTGAGGTCAGCAGTTTGAGACCAGCCTGGCCAACATGGCGAAAGCCTGCCTCTACTAAGAATGCAAACAGTAGCCAGGCGTGGTAGTGGGCATCTATAATCCCAGCTACTCAGGAGGCTGAGACAGGAGAATCACTTGAACCTAGAAGGCAGAGGTTGCAGTGAGCTGAGATCACCCCACTGCACTCCAGCTTGGGTGACAGGGCAAAACTCCATCTCAAAAATAAAAATATTTTATTTTTGGAGGAGGCAGAGGTTGCAGTGAGTTGAGATCACTCCGCTGCACTCCAGCTTGGGTGCGGTGGCTCACGCTTGTAATACCAGCACTTTGGGAAGCCAAGGTGGGTGGATCACCTGAGGTCAGGAGTTCAAGACCAGCCTGGTCAACATGGTGAAGCCTCATCGCTACTAAAAATACAAAAATTAGCCAGGAGTGGTTGTGGGCACCTGTAATCCCAGCTACCTGGGAGGTTGAGGCAGGAGAATCACTTGAACCTGGGAGGTGGAGATTGAGGTGAGCCGAGATCATGCCGCTACACTCCAGCCTGGGAGACAGAGTGAGACTCCATCTCAATTAAATAAATAAATAAATAAAATAAAACAATAAAAATAAATAAACAGTGCCTGATTTCCTAAGAGGGACAGCTTAGATATTTCAGAGAAAAAGCAGGCAGTCTGAAAGCTTGCCCATTTCTTGCCCCTCCCAATTTATATTCCAGTACTAATTTCCTTTGCTAGTTATATATTTGTTATTATAAAAATAGATGCCCCTGACTAGATTTTGCCTGACTTGTATTCTAAACCAATACCCAACTTCTACTGAGCCTCACAATAGTTACTTACACAATCTTTGCCAACTATTTGACTCTCCATCTTCTAGGCATATGGAGAGCTGACTTCCTGACTCCTTTGTACATGAGTGAAATCACATGACTAGTTATAGCCAATGAGTAAAAAGCAAACATAAACAGCAGGAAGTTACTTCGTTGGCAGCTCATTTATTTGCCCAGGCAAGAAAACTCTATTTGCCCTCTGGCATGGCAACCAGTCAGGCTCAAGGTGGTGGGCATTACCTCAGTTCCTCAGGTCACATTTTAGGAAAATGAAGCAGAACACACTGCGATGGGTGGCTTGGAGACCGGCCACAGAGATCAAAGGGATAGAGATCAGGAATGAATACTGAAGGCCTAGATTTGGCTGGACAGTCAGAAAAGCACCATGAGGGAAGCATCACCATGATAATGGATGTGAATGGGCACAGGAGATGGCCAGGGGAAAGGAGATGACTTATTATGTCCCTTATTAAAAGCTGCGATGTGTGCACTACAATTTCAGGTACTGGGTATGAAAAAGCCTAAGATGTATATCTGTCCCATGGAGATCTTGCTTAGGGAGATCTTCAGAATGAAGATATATTAATACAAATAAAAAGGGTCCCTGGAAACTCACAGTAGATTACCTACATCATGGTATGAATTAAGAGAGAGACTATTCATCAATGTCTGAAAAGCCCTGTGCGTATCTAAAGTCCACTTTCATTGTATCCTTTATTTATGTTTTTCTTTCATAATAAAAGTGGAACATGTTACAGAAAGTTTATATACTAAAGAAATCTAAAAAGAGAACAGTGGTAGTAACTCCAAGTTCCCTGACACAAAAATAATAAGTGTTAACATTTTAGCTAACATTTATCATTAGTGTTTTATGTGTGTATACATGTGTGTATATTTAAAAAAATTATAAATGCTGTTTTGATTTTTACTTTTTACAGTTACCTGATAATGAGCATTCTTTCACATCAGTTCTTTCACATCATTATATTTTTTTCAAAACCTTTTTGAACAGTTTTATAATATTCGAATATATGGACACTTCATGGTATTTACCCCTTTTATAAAGGACAATCTACATCCTTATACAAATCCATGTTCTTCTATTATGAATCACTTCATCTGGGCTGATGAAATCAAGGATATCTTCTTGGAGGAGGCAGGATATTTACTGGTCCCCAAAAGATGAATAAGTGAGGGGTGAAAAGGGTGTAGAGGAGGCAAATGGAACAGGCACATTGTGGGTGATGTATGGCTGGTTTGGGTCATCATACATAGGCTAATTGGAGAGGAGAGTGGAGGCAGACTGGAGGGCTAGCAATGCTAGGATAAGAAGCTTCCTTAATATTTCACAAGCTGTGGAGAACCAAAGAAGACCCCCACTTGTGTCCCCTCTGTGCATACAGTGTTTTAGGAAGCTTATGCTGGTAACCTCCAGACTGGAGGCATGGAGACCAGTTAGGAAAGCCCTCCTCTAGGCTGGGCTGAGGAGGAGAAAGTCTTTGACACTTGATACTTATTTAGGTACTAATTCTGTAACTCTTGGATGTGATAATACTGCTGATCATATAATTTAACTTGTATACCATGAGGGTTAACTGTTTCTTTGACCTTACATCCATTTCCAACTCTTTCCCCTGCTCTGTTATATATCGTCAGGAATTACACTTCCCAGACTCTCTGGCTCCCATGGACATATCCTACCCACATGGTCTCAGTGTCCACTGGACAGCCTTAGTTTATTTCTTTTTCCAGTGCAAAGGTAGTAGTAGTTTTCTGCTATTGCTAATTTGTGAGTTGCCATATGGTCTCCTGTTCAGTTTTTCAGTGGTTTTACCCCTGCAAAATACTTTATTAAATTTTATGTGTTAAAAACTCTAGAGTAGTCTTTCCCCACTTGTGGCTGGTGTGAATAAAATATTAAGTCACAACGATTACAGATGTATAGAGAATTAGATATACAGGGTACCTAAATTGTTTTATTCACAAATAACATTCAATTAGATAAAGCACTCATTGGCTCTTAACTCTTGTGGCAAATCTTTGTAAAAGATATGAACACATTTTTCTACCTTATAAGTAATTTAATCAATAAATATTTATTAAGGATATATTATATGTCAGACATTGTGCTGCTGGACCTTTATGAGATTTACAGTTTATAGTTTTGTAAAGAAGACAAACATTAATCAAACAATCACATGAACAGGCAAGGATATACAATGATAATGCGTGACGTTGAGGATATGGGCCACTATGACAGTGTACACAATAGGGCAATCTACTTACAGCTGAGAAAGCAGTGCTCAAACAAAGGTCTGCTGGATGAGTTGATGTTAACTGGGAAAAGAGAGAAGGGAATAGTTTTCTAGGCAGAAGAACACCACCTGTAAAGGCTTGATGGTGGGAGGAACTATAGTAGGTTTGTGGAGGATCTTCATGGCTAGAGAGAGAGAGTAACTGAGAGGTATCCAAGACTGGGTGGGTTTCACTGAGGGCTGTTCATTTTATAGTAAGAGTAATGGAAAGCAACAGCAATGGTGGGAAGGCTGCAATGTGTGTGACCTGATGGGGTGGACATTTAGAAAGGGTCACTCTTGATGAGGCAAAGAGATTAGACTGTGAGGGCTCCACCATGGATTCAGCATCCTCCATTAGAAGGTGATTGCAGTAGTCCCAACCACTGGGGCTATTCTGGAGAGGTACAAGGGGAAATCTAGCATGCCAGAGAAATTAATCTTTTTATGTAATGCTTCAGAATCTTCTGATGACCCCGATCATCATGATGACTACCTATTTTCATTCGATGAGACAAGCTATAGATGATTGGGATGACTTCAGACTAATGGATTCCCACTGCTTTGTCAAAGAAGAACCAAGAGTAGAAATCAAGCACTGGTTACTTGAGATGTTACTCTCTATACATCTATATGCCTGTCTATTCTCAGGTAACCTGTACGTGAATATTATACTACAGTACCATGTACATATGTCAAAGCAGATTGGGACACTGGCCTCGAAGACTGTATAGCCCAAGGGTGTCCAATGCTCTACAGAGTTCCTAAAGGGGACACTCAGAAGGACAAGGGGAAGTTGAATTGGGGGACACTGGACTTGCTACATCTTCTTCAAGCAGAATTGCTCTCTTTTGTCTGCATTAGAAGCAGAGGTTCTATGTAATATTTCATTTCTAAGAACCCCACCATGGAAAAATGGTTGATAACCACTCCTATTCTAATGGTCTTGTTTTATGGATGAAGCAATTAAAACCAGGAAGTTGAAGTGACTTGTGCGTGGCCAAATAGCCAATTCACGGTAGAGTCAGAATTAGATTCCGGGTCTCCTGATTCTGTTTCAGTGCTCATGGCTGTTTCTAATAATAAAAAGATAAAGTGATATATTTACCTACCTTCTGAATTTAAAAAATTTAAGTTTTGAAAATTTTTAAAAACTGGCTGTACTCTTCCTCCTGGATTATTTGGCAGTTAGTAGACTCAGTCACACCTGTTTGTTCCTCTATTTAAGCTTCAAAACATTTTACAGTTCATGTGTTCCAGTAACGCTCAATAAATAGTTGATGATCTGCTTGCCATGATTCATGCATTTTAAAACTTCATTTAACAACCATACATTAGATGCCTAGGATATGTCAGCTGCCAGTAGCTTCTGGGGACATGAAGTAGCAAGTGACCATATCATTATAGCAGAATATTAACAAAATTGTAATAGACAAATGTGCATAGAGATGTGTGATCCCAGAGATGAACTTGGCTCTGGAATTGAAACTGGCACTGGGGTTGCCAGATTCACCAAAGAAAAACACAGGATTCCCGGTAAAATCTAAATTTCAGATAAACAACAAACAGGTTTTTGGTATAAATGTGTTCCAAGTATTGCATGAGGCATATTTATACTAAAAGCATATTTGTTGTTGATCTGAAAGTCAGATTTCACTGGGTGTCCTCAACTTTATCTGGCGACCCTGCCTTGTATACCTGGGCAGACTAGAGGATGAAGTTCCATGGGGTCAGTGTTAGAAAAGGGTGCTTTTATCCAAGACACAGAGAGATGCTGGAATGCACTCAGGAGAGTCAAATCCAAATGCCAGGAAAAGTGAGGATATTTAGGAGTTGGGATGGGGAGAGAGAACATCAAAGTTGGGAGATCAAAATTGATTTTGTGATTTTATATTGTTCTGGAAGTTCTGGCCAATGTAATGAGAACCAGAGCAGAAATGAAGAGCATGACCTCTGCCTATTGGAAAAGAGAAAAGAAAATCATTATTTTCAGAAAATATCTTCTTAAAAAGCCCATAAGAATAGACTGAAAAAGTGTTAGAATAGAAGAGAGTTCAGTAAGGTCATAAAGTATGAAATAAACATTTAAAAGTCTGTGTCTTATTTTTTTGTAACAGCAATAACCAGCTAGAAAACGTAATGGGAAAAATTGTATTTGGATTATCAACAAAAATATAAAGCAACTATAGGTAAACAATAAAACAACAAAATGTGCAGGACTTAGAGGAAAAGATTTATCAGAGATGTAAAAGGAGATGAAAAGATGGGAGCCATGCCATATTCTCATATGACCAGAGCAAATATTATAAAGACACAAATTTTCTTAAAATTTATTTTTTAGGATTAATGAAATTTCAAGCAAGATCTCTGTAGAATATATCTGGAACTCCAAAATGATTCTAACATTTATCTGCAAGAACAAATTAGTAAAAAGGGCTAGAAAATTATTAAGAAAAAGGATTAAAGAAGGTGGTAGTTTTCCCTATCTGACATTAAAACATTCCCAAAGCCACATTCCTTACATCAGGGTTGTGTTTGGGAAGGAGTAGGCAGGAAGACAACAGGATGGAGCTGAGAGCCCAGAAACAGACCCTGGTGTCTGAAACATCTCCTTTCACAACATGGAAGAAAATACAGATCCACAGGGAAGGGAAGGATCATTTAAGAAAAGGTGTTAGAAATAGTTGAATATCTAATTGGTAAAAAATAATAATTTTTATCTCATAGAAAACACTAATTTTCAGACACATTGAAGAGTTAAATGTGGAAATGAAACCAAAAAGAAGAAAACAAGGACAAATGTTTAGCTCAAGGGTCCCCAGCCCCCAGGCTACGGACTGGTACCTGTCGGTGGGGTGTGTGGCTAGTTAGGAACAGGGCCGCACAGAAGGAGGTGGGCATCGGGTGAGCAAGAAAAGCTTCATCTGTATTTACAGACACTCCCCAATGCTCATATTACCACCTGAGCTCTTCCTCCTGTCAGATCAGCAGCGGCATTAGATTTTCACAGGAGTGCGAACCCTATTGTGAACTGCACATGTGAGGGATCGAGGCTGTGCAGTGGAAAAGTTCCATCCTGAAACTGTCCAGTGGTTTGTAAAAGGGTAGTTTTTAGTAAAGCCTATTTTTATTATTCCCACATACAAGACCTCTTCACAATCCAGGTCTTTTAAACTCTGTGCCTAGCATAATCAAATTGAGTGTTTCCCAAGTTCTATGTTTTCTTTTCTCAGTCTCTGGAAACACAGTACAATTAAGTTCCACTGTAATCATCCTGAAACTGCTTCACCTCAGATCATCAGGCAATAGATTCTCAAAAGGAATGCAAAACCTAGCTACCTTGCATGCACAGTTTCCAATAGGGTTGTTTTGCCTTCTCTGAGACAGTCTCCTTCTGTTGCCCAGGCTGGAGTGCAGTGGCACGATCCTGGCTCACTGTAGCCTCGACCTCGACCTCTTGGGCTTGAGCAACCTTCCCACCTCAGCCTCCTGGGTAGCTGGAACTACAGGCACCTATCACAGGCATCCCTCACCTTCCCACGCCCCTGTGCCTGGAAAAACAGTCTTCCATGAAACTGGTCCCTGGTGCCAGAAAAGTTGGGGACTGCTGGTTTAGCTGATCTTTGGATGTAAATTATTTTCCACTTGGTTTAAAAGTTTTTGAAGGATGTAAATCCAGGTAGTCAGAAGACATGAGGGGTTTTTATAGGGATTTGTCCTTTTCAGAGCATTTGCTAACTAAGGAGACAGTTCCTGCAGTCAGCAGGTTAGTTAGGCGACCACTGGAATAATCCAGAGACACCAGGAGCCTAACTAAAGTTTAGCAGTGAAGAAAATGCAGAAGAAAATGGAAACTAACAGCAGCCTCCAAAGGAATTTGCTGTGTGTACTATGTGTCTAGACACAAAGGAATACACTAGGGATACCTCTGTCCGATGGTTTGTAAAAGGGTAGTTTTTAGTAAAACCTATTTTTATTATTCCCACATACAAGACCTCCCCACAATTCAGGTCTTTTAAACTCCACGCCTAGCATAATCAAATTCAGTGTTTCCCACTTTCTATGTTTTCTTTTCTCAGTCTCTGGAAACATGATATAACTAAGTTCCACTGTAATCGATAAAATATTGTACAGTGTGTGCAGAATCAGATAGGTCTGTGTTTTTATAAATGTACATTAGAGAGGAACAGGAATGGAACAGAACAAGGCTGACTTGTTCATGCTTTTTAATATAGATACACTGTACTAAACAGCATGATATGTCATAAAACGAAACCTAATATTCGAAAATGAGATTGCAGTCTCTACACGTTTAAATGGTTTTCCTGGGAGACAAATCTTCTTTCATTTGAACAAACACAAAAGTGTTTTTTATGAAGTACTAGGAAATATCCAGCAGTAAAGTTGTGTCAGTGAAGTAAGTACTGACACAATTC